TTGGATGGATGAAGAAAATTGGGAAAAAACTGACTTCCCCAAGGTCACAAGCTGAGACCAGGAGACGGATATGAACCCCTCAGCACATGATCATAAGTTACAAACAACTCTAACCATAAGGCCAACACTCTCCCACAGTGGTAGTGCAATTATCAGAGGCCCCTCAAGGTTTGATTGTTTTTTTTTTCAGCAGAGAAGTATTTGATTTGCACATTTTCTTTAATAGTTGCACTCCTCTGCCTTATCTTTTCATATTCTGGTAGAAAGTAACCATGTTATTTTGCTGCATGGAACAATTAAAGGGATACACGTACATAATCCACTTGTTTGGGAGATGACAAAACAACCGTCTGCTTAGCAACACTGAATTCCAACCTTTGATTCTTGTTGAGTCAGAACAATGATGTTACACAAGCACAACTGAAATCGTGAAACTGTTCAACCAACGAGCAAAGCAGACACAGGCTTCTGGTCATAGTTCATTTGGAGGTAAAACATGTGCCACATTTTTTTCGAAGCTTATCTCTTCCTGAAAATAGTGAACTTTTAATTCTTTTTCCTTTTTACTTCTCAACATCTTTCAGAAAAGTCAAGTCTCAGCACAAGGACTTGTGGCAAGCTGACATCTTGCTCAAAATGAAAAATTTCCCATTTAAAGTCCAATACACTTCTAACTTTACATGTTACTGAATTAGCGAGTTTTTGATTATAAGAAGATGACCACAATGTACCTTCTCTCCTTCGCCTTTATCAAAGGATGCAGCAAACATTGGAATGATGACATACTGTAAGGCCTTGGCCTTCAACTCTTGAGGGAAGGTCTTCTCATGAAAGAGTTCCACAAACTTGAAGAACGCATGACGTTTCTGCTCCACACTGTAACCCTACAACACAAACAGTGTTATATGATAAGTCTGTTGATCACTATACTACTGATGCCATTCACAGGAGACATCTTGAAGATTACAAATAGAACTAAACATTACTGACCAAATAAATCTTGTCACTTCTTGGTGATCTTATTTTAGGGAACTGATGTTTGCAATGCTTCCAACAAAAAGCATGATTTTTCTAAGTTCGTGTGTCACCTTTAACTGTAACAATACCTAACTAGTCACACTCCAACATAAGGGCATGTTGGAATCTGTTAGGATGAGAAGTGAACTAGTGACCTGACTGTGTTTTATGCGGGATTTAGGCATACCACAAATAAACAGAGTCCGACTGTTGATGAGCACAGCTTACTATGTGGTGTTGAGACTTGCAACGAATGAGGGAGGTTTCTAGGACTTATGATGAATGAAAATTATTGTTGGGTGCAGATTAATAACTTTTGACTTTTCATGGCTGATCATGAAGGACTTTGCTATGACCCCAACTCCATAGATGTCAGTAGTTGTGCCTTAACATTCTTTAAGATGCAACGTGACATAGGAGAGGAACAAGTGGTATTTCCCCTTTGACATCCCAAACACTGGCCACTATGACAGTGAAGTACTACACCCATAACACATACACACATTGTCACTGCATGTGCAAGCAACGACATGGAATGAATACAAACTGTAAAGCCAACCTTACTCTGTGTCGGGTGACAGAATTTTAATTTCCTCTGGCTTTGTCTCAGGTAAATTGTCCACCCCACAATGCAACTCAAAACAGTCAAACATACCCCTAGTCTATGGACATTTATAAGTCAGTGTGTGAATAGATGTCTCTACTTCAAGCAGGAACAAGGCAAAGCATGTTTTTACAAAGCAATGGCGGCTCTTTGGTGCAAACTCACCATGTACATGTACAGGTTGATGCATATTTTGCGTGGGACATGTTGAGCATGAGTGACCAATTTCTGTGTGAATGCAGAGTCTTTGTATGTGTGCTGGGTGGGTACATAGGCCCGGCTTGAAAACATCCCACCATTCGGTTCTTTCCCTTACCAATAAGGATGAACTTCAACTCCAGGTGGATATAAGGCAAACCAGTGTGTTGAAATATCTCCTTTAACAAGACCATTCAGCTTTGGATTCAGTACAGCATATCAAACATTACCTGGGCAACCTTCTCCTCAAGATAGTCCCTCAGAAACTGAAAGTTTGGCAGATATCGGTTGGTGAAGACACGAAGTAACTGGAACAGAAGCTCCACATTGTTTGGATGATGTCTGTGTATGACAGAAATGTAACTGCACATAAGACAAACACTGAGATGAAAGGAAAGCACAATTTAAGCCAGAGATTTCCAAGGAATTGGTGATTTAGAGTTAATGTAGTGCACAAAAATGTATTACATTTAGAATCACAATGTACGCCAATTACTGTTGGCACTGATACACAGTTGTATTTAAAACAAGAACAGACCCATTCTAATCTACATCTGTATATTTAAAACCCTTACAAGTATCGCTCACCCATAGAAAGTACAAGTCAATTGCAATTTACGCTTAACTGAGAGCTTGGCAAGTAGAGGTCAAACGTTTGCAGTGGAGATTGAAGAGCCAAGCAATAAGGTTTGTTATAACTAGCATGTGTACTGACATTGAGTGATAAAAATCACTTTTTCCCTTAAAAGAAACAACATATGGTAACTATGTGAAGCACACACACCATTACCCAGAATGCAACACTTACTCAGCATAGTTCAGAAGACATTCCACCAGTAACTTGGGTTCATCCCAATGAGCAACGCCTACATTGTCTGTATGATGCTGGTCTTGAAACGCATCGGAGATCCAGATGCGACGTAGGTGACCAAACTGACAAATAACATTTTACTTTATATTCATTATTAAAGTAGTTGTATCTTATGTAGATCAAAGGTCTAACTTTAAAGGGGGAAGGCATTCTGGAGAAATGGTTTCCTACAAAAATGAGGGGACAACCAGAGTCTTTATTCACACAATGAAAAACTACCACGGCTACCAAAACCAGACAAATCTGGGCAACAAGTCCACACTGCATTGGAAAATGCAAATCTGGTCAGAGTCACAGCACAACCATGAAAGTATTACTTCCTACAATGATATGCCTCACTTTAGATCTTGGAGGAGAAATTTCAGGTTCAGACTTTAAGACAGTATTCAACAGATTATAGATCATCCAAGTATAAACCCAAATCAAATTTGGGCTAAACCAAATCAAATCTTCCATCTAAACCACTACACACTTCACTATTCTGAGGGACCAATTTTTGCACGAACAGCACATATAATTCTACTAATAGGATTAGCAATTTTTTAAGTGAGATGTAAAAAGCAAGTGATTCCCTCACCAGGACTGATTTCTGAGGTAGCCATGTTGGGTCATGTTGGACCAGAATGCTGCAAATCAATATAGTCTGGTACTGGAGTTCCAACCTTGCTTGACTGTTTGGACTGGTGGGTCTAGCACTAGGCTGTCAGACAATCATTCATTAAAGCAGACAGATTAAACAATCAGTCACTACATTATAAACAAAAAAGATTACAAAGACAGGTTGTTTTAGCCATTAGCATTCATATAATATGTTAAGGTATTTTTTGTTGCAAAAACTGTAGTCCATGTCACACTTTGACTTGCTTTGCTCAGCCAGGAAGAAGCTGATAAGGGCCTCGTTGACATCATTCGTATAAATCAATTACACCAATATGTGTCAAAAAATAAAACTCACAAAATAGGATCATTTCCAGTGTAATCCACAGCCTAAAATTATAGTAGGGAGGCACACAAGCCTGGTGGCTTGTAGGTGTGGGGTCCAGATCCTAGGTGCTCTGTGGTGCAATCTGAGGTATTTCCTGGGCACTTTCTTCTGACTCCTTGAATCAAATTTGCTCGTGGTAACATTTTGAAATTAAGGCAAGATTGTTATTGGGAGGTCTTCAAAAGTCGATTTTTTTTTCTCTGGGTCATTTTCTTGAATGGATGGTTCAGGGGTTACATGCACATAAGTGGGCACTGCGTGAGTGGATGATGTATAGTCGCTTCCCTAATTCCGGATCTTAAAAATAACTCAGATTCCAGCAACGAAATCCTATAATTCTGGTGAAATATGGTCAGTATCTGATTTTCTAATTAAGAATTTCCTGATTTTGAGAAAACTAGTTCATAAGTAACATTTCAGTGAATTAAAAAGTGAAACTTCATAAATTTTGACTCAAGTTTTTCAGCTGTACTGCGAGCAATTAGCGACTATCCCCTGTGCTGCACAGTTGATGAACCCATTACATCACATACATGTACATTTTTGTTACGCCCGTGTAGTGGAGTTCGCAACATACGTGCAAGCACTTAAGGTGCAATCCGCAACTAGTAAAAAAATGCATCTATTTTTCGGCCAATTTATTTTTAAAAAAGGGAAACTCCAAAAGTCACTTTGATTAAACACACATTAGATGCAAAAGTTTATAGGACCGTTAGGTAAGGAAAAAAGTATTTGGAATCACATGTACAGAATGACCTGTCACTCTGTATCTTTTGGTCCATTTTGTTGGCTCTCATGATGTTCGACATACCGTTTATAAATGAGAAAGTTTGAAACGGAAATCTAGCAGGCAGAAAATATTTTTCTAGACGCTTTCTGAAAATAAAATTTTGTACAAGAAGCTTACATTTCACCTTAAACTGAACTTGTTTGAGAATGCAAAACACAAAAGAAGTAGTTTTAGAAGCAGAAGAAAAGAAGTTTCAGTTCAAGTGATCAGGATCTAGGAAATATTGGGAACTACAAGCAGGAAATTGGCTGTATTTTCTGAGAAAAAAACCCACCACATTCCAGGTATTGGTTCTTGATTTGACAAAATGAAAATGCTATGACCGGGAGATTGGAACCAGTCCAGAATTTCGTGCTAACGCACTACACTGTGTATGGCTTTGATCACAAATGCTACAAAGTGCTATACTGTTGTCATGGTTGTGCTGAATAATATTGGTAAACTCATCATGTTCGTTCCATAAAGTGCAGTAAACTTCTTTCCATTTAAATAAACTGTGCAGACGATGCAGAATAAGGAAAATCAAATAGAAAAAGTAGCAGGGTGGTGAGAATTTTGGCAGGGCGTCAACACCTTAGCGGGGTGGTCTAAACTTTTGGCAGTTCAGCCTGCCCTGCTAAAACCCCTCGTAGAGAACACTGATATCGTCATGACATCTAGCATTAAGAGTATTGAGAAGAATATTGAAATTAGTGAGTCTTTTTAACTACAAAGTACCATATACATGTGCAACAAAACAAGTATTGGTAGCAACCAACACCTGCAGAAAGGACAGAATAACTATGCATGTATACCTGAGGTTTGTTGAAAGCTAGATTGATGAGCTTAATGGTGTTAGTTTGCAGTACATCCCTTAGAGGCTTGGCGTCATCTTGCTTCAACAGATACTAAAACAAAAAGGGTTCAAGCAGTAAAATAACCTAAGTAGAACACCTTGATTTAAAAAGATCTAGGGATACAAAGATAAACTTTAATTTAATTCATCATGGGCCAATATATGTAAAAACCAATGACTTAAAACAAAATGTTGTCAATCATAGAGTGAACTATTAACAGCAAATTGTCCTGATGCACGTAGTCAGAACAATTCCAAACATGTTTACAACATCAATTTATACACACTACATGGCAGCAATTATTACAATCCCTAATTCCTGTCGTTATGTTGAAGCACTGCTCCTCATATCTTGGAGTAGTGCAGGTGATTTCAAATATAATCTGAGCTTGGATTTATCCATGGCTGAGCATAACCACAAGGCTTAACCCAAGACGTTGACACACTGCATTCTTCAGATCAGCCACACATTTTGCCAGATAGCCTCATTCCTTTAGGATCCTCCAAAACCACTCACAAGATTATGGAGGATTGAGAATACTTAATGAGTGATATCCGTTAACACTTACAGCTAGGAGATTACTGAACTGTGGGTTACGCAGATTGGTCTCAGTCAGAAAGCAGTCAATAGTCTGCACCGGATACCTCAACAGGTACAACATGAGTGGCTCACGAAATGGACTCCCAACCTAATTATAAAAACAGTGGACACAAAAGTAAAGTGAAAAAGCTTTGTCAAGTTTGGGTTACTAAATCAAATGAGCAAACACAAACTTCTTCATGTTCGCCAACGTTGTCATGTCTTTTTGTCACCACAGGAACGCTTCATGTTAAAATTCAAGCTATATGTGCTTTGGATAAAAGACTTGAAACATACAAAAAGTCAGCAAAAGGTATCATCATAATTATGGTGAAAAGCCATCTTAGTAATGACATTATACATGCAGTATTATGTACATGTAGAATAACAATAATTCCACGAGGCAAAGTAAGAAAGTAACACCATGTACACATTCATGTCATAGCAGTTTACTTTGTCACATCTGCAGGCGTAATGAGTAACCTACAAGCCTGTAAAGATAAGTTAGCAAACCAACTAACCTCAATGCACAATGCATTTTCTGCTTTGATAGTCAATGTAACCAGAGCATCTAGTAGTTTAGGAGAGGCAGCTGGTATTGCATGGAAGATGTTGATGATAGCTGAACATATCTTAATGCTCTCTGTAGCCTTTGCCTGTACACTGGTACTACTACGCTGAGCAGCAATAGATACCTCCATCCATTTCTTCAAGTGTGTCTGTTAACAGAATATGAACATCCAATGTGAGACTCCACAATTGGTCAGCCCTCTAACATGGCTTCCATGGTGAATGCTTCTAAAAGTCTTGGCTATGGTACATGTACAAGGTGACCCACTCCCTTATGGGTACTATGTAGCACCTCTAGCCAGGCTTCCATAGGTGCTTGTGTTATTTAAAGCTACAGTGGAGAGTTTGAACACAACTTTGGCCTCCTCATTTCACATCAAAAGCTCCTGTTGGCAGGGTTTGCATTAAGTCCCTCCTGAGGAGGGAATGAAGCTCTGAGTATTTCATAGTTGACTACACACCTACTAGTTAGGCAGAGAAGCACCACAATTAGGCAGAGAATAATGTTTCTGGTAAAAAAAATTAAAGTTGATATCCATGTTTGTGGATATTGCCATGGAATTTAACTTGCACTTTGATATGTCCCATTTCAAGGTAAATCTGGTGGTAGAAGTAAAATCTGTGTTATCCTAAATCAAAACAGGCATTGGGTGGACATCATTGAAAAGGACAATAGTGCATTTTGAGGTTCCCACCACATATTCGAGGAATGTTGTGTGAAATATTTTATCACTGTCAATCACTCTTTCAATTCTGACACTCTGAGTTTGGGTCCAACTGGGCAAAGAAATGTTCGTCTAGTTTCTGCAGCAAAAGCTGCAACGTGCAATATTGAATAAAACTGGTTTAATCTACCAGCCAATTACCAGCAATCGCCAGTCTGATAGTTTTTCCATTAAAAACTAGTAATTAAACAGTGGACTAGGTGTTCAAACCACTTTGTATCACGCACACTGTTCAAAAAACAGGTCGGGGACCAAACCACACACTAGCGACGACGCCAGACTATGCATACACCGCTCGCTTGTTCAAAGATGACATAATTTTTGAACAATTTTTAGATCACGGTTCGCAGATGACATCGATCTCTTTATCGGCCAAAAACTTCAAAACAAATTCCTCTAATTGATCAAATTTACAGGAAACATGCTACCCAAGATCTAGATGAAACTTCTCTTTCATTTGGTATTTTTAAAAGCGGATCAAGGAGATTTTTCGGTCGAATCTTGCACTGGATGTGTCGAATTCGGTGGGCAGACAAATCCAACTCTGCCGATGAAAATGTTTAAGGGAAAAAAAAGAAGCCTTGCCGAAGTTTACTTTATGCATGAAAATGTTGCCATTAAAAATCTTCATCGATTCACCATGGCAAATTTTATGTTTACCGTGGCGATTTTCCAAAATAGTGATCAGAAACAACTTTGCCATAGACTCCAACGGTAAGGGCAACGGCAGCCATGTTGGCTGCCGGCATTTCAAATTTCATTATTTTCCCAAAATCGCGCCGTAAAATTACATTATTATCACGTGACCTGATAAAAATGACGTCACTGCTGCTTGAACTGGCGACATGAGCAGAAACTAGGGACATTGCCAGATTGTGGTTTGGTTCCCGACCTGATTAATATTCTCAGAGATGCTCTGATTGATCAGATTCACCAAAAAAATGAATTATGAGTAAGCATTATAAGCATCTAAGAGGTAATTTTCTTATGTAAATTATGAATGCTTTTACAAAATTTTGCTGTTAATTCCTTTGAATAACCAAATTCATTTTTAAAAAGGGAAGATGGGTTTAAAAAAAATGACTTACTAGCATCTGTTCACAGAGCTTTTCGTTGAAAGCATTGGGGAAGAGCTGAGTCAGATAATGCAGTCTCTGGATAGCATTGAGATTGAGTGAACGATGGTCACCCAGCTTCAGCAACAATGGTCGTATGGTAGAATGCACCAACTCCATATCTACAGCATGACCTGCTATGAACTTCTTCATACATTCAGCACCTGCTTTCAGGAGCTCTGGCACTTTGGATGTCAGGAAAATGTACAACAACTTGAAGATCTTATCCCGTACATGAGGAATGTAGTGACAAGCAGCCAGAGCATCTGCAATGGGTAATAACAGTGCATTCAACTCTTATCGTGTTACAAATATTGTACAGTAGAACTAAATTGGAAACAAACTTCAAGCATCTTGGAAGAAATAAACAAAAGGAACCTGCAACAAACATTCAGGCCTACAGTGACCTTCAGCTATGGGCTCCAAACTAAATAAATAGCACTTGGAACTTACTCAGGGCACTGATACGAAGTGGAACTAGTGAAGGTACATTCTTGTAGCAAGGAAGCTTGGTAAGCATTGAATCCTCTACTTCACACAGATTGACCAGCTGTTAATGCATACAGGTAAAGCATGACAAATCATCAGTCTCAGGACATCCTTGTAATCAATAAAACTCATGCTAGCCAGACTGGAAAAGAACTTGTAGTCATAAAGGTAACATTATAACAATGTAGTAGAGTCTCCAAGAGCATTGCATCACGAAATCTACACGTACATGTAGGTGACAAAAAAACTGTCATTTGGTGGACATCATAATGTGGTGTCTTTCTAACAAGTGCCTTTTTAAAAGAAGAGTTAAACTTTTAGCTTTCATATACTTGGCACTTCAATGCAAGACTCTCTTGCCATGGTATAAAGACAAACCTCCATTTGATGAAACTCATCAAGTTTAGTTTCACTGTAAACTGCTGTAATGACTGATACTTTCATTGTCAAATAATACAAACAAAAACAAAGTTGTCTAACCAAAAGCTATTAAAGAAATAAAATCACATATTTGTACATGTAGGTAAGGCTACGGCTCTGCCAAAAAAGATGTCAAAGGTGAATAAAAAAGTTTAAACAAGCAGACTTTTTTCCTAGACAGACAATGGTTTGGTAGGGGACATTGGTCAATGTGGTGCCGGTATGAGAGACAACTACATGCACACATATGCTGCTTTTTCAGATACTGTCATCATAGTCTAATAACAAACATGTGCAGTCATTTGACAATGAAATATCAGATGAGACCTGAAAGCAACAGCATATGAAAGTACATGCATGGCTTTTACCTCCACATAGAAGACCTTATGCTCTGGCACATTGAGATCCATAGTGAACAGTCTGGGTTCCAGCGTTGTACAGAATGTGTTACTCTCCATCAAGCCTCGCTGTGCATTCGCTGGTTGATGATGTAGTAGATGTTTCTTAGGTGGGATCATGTCTGCTAGTACTTCCCTATGTGGTTCCATGATTTCAGTCACATTCTTGCCAGTGATGTCAGCAAGAGACCGCAATGAATCCATGGCCTGATGGGTCAACAACTCAGCTAAATGAATAGTGTGTAGGGGTTTTAAACAGAACTGTGTAGGATACTATGTAAACAAAACACAGTGAAGCCACAACCAACTGTGAGAGTAGGGGATGAAGAGAAATCCATGAAACACAGTAAGGGTTGAAACAGTAACAAATATTGTGACTTAACATAGCTTCTAATAACAAGTCAGGCATGGGTTCTCACTCAGTTTACTATGATTATGTGAACATTGCACTTGATTTCTTGTACAAAGTACAAAGAATAAGAAACACCTTAATAAAACTTCTAACTAGGGCCAAATTTCACAGCACTGCTTCACATTTAGCAGAAAAGTTGTTGCTTACTATACATAAGTTATGCCAACCTTAAGCACAATTTCATGCCGAGGTTGTGCTGTCACAGTTGCATGCAAATGGATATTTCCATAGTTACACCAAAATTAGATCAAATCTCTGTTAGCATAAACTGTGCTTAGCAGTGCCATCAAATTGGGCCTTGAACAGCGAAGCTGTCATGGCTTGATCCTACATTTACATGCAAATCAACTCATTCAAACAAATACATGAAACTGTTTTTCCTGTCATGTGCTACACACCTAGTGACCTACTAATTGGTTTGTAATCTTTCCTTCCACATTCTCAGTATTTATGGCCATGTGAAATGTATCACATACTTAAATACTTGATCAAATCCAAGGTAAATGTAGAGCATATAAAATGTTAGAAAATACACTCTTGCCGCTACTCACCCTAACATATCCCCTTCTACCCAGCAAATCCTCTTCCCACACTAACAAATTCCCATCTCATCCTCACTAATTCCCATTCCATTGGGTGTACAACAGAAATGCTCAATAAATACGCAACACGTGATAATCGCATCGAATTTGCCACGGTATTACCAATACCCCCCACTGTATTACCGATACCCCCCACAGTATTACCGATACCCCCCACGGTATTACTGATACCCTCCACGGTATTACCGATACCGTCCACAGTATTACCGATACCCTCCACAGTATTATCGATACCCTCCACGGTATTACCGATACCCTCCACGGTATTACCGATACCCTCCACGGTATTACCGATACCCTCCACAGTACTTTTTAAGCTGCAAGGCATGTTGAATGTGTCTAAGTGAAAAGCCCATTGCCAGTAACAAGATCTATCAGGTCAACTATCATAAGACCACAGCCTCCCAGTCTGCATGCTACCACATACCAAACATTGGTCCTTATTTACACTGGTCCCAATGTCTCAAAATTGGCAGTACTGCACCTACACCTGGCAACCAAATGCAACATTTGTAGATTTGTAGGTACATGTGGTTGCAGTTTTCTGCATTTGCTACAGGTAAGGTTTGACTTAAAAAAGTATCAACCTCCCTGGGGCAAGTGGTGTTAAAGAATCTGTCATTTTGAATTACACCCACAGTGTCACGGGCACGGCAAAAAAGATTTTGTTCAACATGGTGTTTTGTCAGTCAATCTTACTGTATGGAGAGAACAGCACATTACCTGGTGTCTAACAGTCTCATTGGGTGACGTGACTTCTCGCACTAACTCTCGTGTGACATCATGGAATGCTTTTTGCTGGGCCACACTTAGTTGAGCATTTTCTGCATTCTCTCCCTCTAGCGGACTAGCGCACAATTTCAGCAGATTCTCTAGGTTGGCTTTGGCCATGTCCAGAGCTCCACTTGATACCTACAGATACAGTGTTCCATGTATCTAGTTATTAGTTTGACTTCCAGCAAAGGTGAAGAGCCTTCTCTTGTTTGATATTTTGATTTCAAATTTAATATTTCGCATATCTGAAGATTCATTTGTCATTTTGTTGCTGTGAAAAGCAAAATTTTCGGAGAGAATTGAGCAACAGCTTCTGAGCCATGTAGAACCAATCGACAATTATGGTTTCTTCCTTCTGCAAGGAAGCAAGCATGGCTTCACAGTTTCTGGTATTTCATCAGTCAATATGATTTAATTTCTGTTAAAAATAAAAAAGAATACTTGCAGACTTCTGTAATGTCAAAGGAAAGAATTGCTGACATTTCAGCTTATGGGAAGAATGCTAGATTAACCCTCCTTTGGTTTAACAGTACAAATATGCACGAGTGCTCACAGTCACTCTCTTGCATGTGTTTTCTACATGGAACACAAACATGCACAGGTTCAGTGTGTATACAGTAGATTGCCAGCACAAAATGACCCAGGATCTTTTGTGCAGTCCTCTTCACTGCATTTGGTTTACTGCACAATTATGCACATGAAAC